AAAGGATTTCGTAGCCGTAGGCCTACTTTTGACTACTGTAGCTTCTGCAGAGAAGTAAGATAGCGAAGGAGTCCTCTCGACGGTCGTAACTTCTGCAGAGAAATGAAATATCAAGTATACATGTTACATGTTTAATTTTCTCTTATTTTCTAACTTCTTTACCCGCAGCCTCTCTTCAAAATGATTGAAGGTGTTTTTTTCGTTTATGTGCGATCACTTACAACTTCCGGTCACACCAGCTAGAACAAGAGAGAATATATCCGGATCATGTTTCCTTTTTCTCTCTTTCCTTTGCTTAAAATCATAATAAAAATAATTGTAATAATTCAAACGGTAAGTTTGGTGGCACACTAGGTACTCACGGATGTTTGTTTGTTCTGTCTACCTTGCAAAAATCGAAAAGCTCAAACTGTAGTGCAATATTGTCCAATTGAGGAGAAACCAATGTACATAATGACTAGACGCTAATGACCACGCAACTTTTCAGGCAGTACAATTTCAGTTTTCGTCATTCTCAGTCTTCGAACTTATCGAAATACGTTTAACTGAGCAGGTACTAGGATTACAGATTCTCTTTAATCGATCAGCAACACCGAAAAGTCATAAAGAGACATCTGTGCGGAAGTGGACGAAAAATATTCAAACCTCTTGTCTGGGGGGTTCACAGACTCAAAACATTTGTCCGATTCCAACATTCCAATTACACTTAGGAAAGCTTCTTTGTTTGATTTTAGCTGCATGTTAGTTTTAAGCTTCAACAAACTGTACGTCAAGACGGATTATTTACCTAGTAGAATTGAAGGCTCACCCATAATCTTTACTGAAATAGTTACGTTTGGAGCGAGTAAATAATTAAAAGTAATGTTACTCCTATAATATAACAAATCCGAGTTAGCTGGCCTGGAGTAACAGGACTTCAGTGCTATCATTCATTCATGCAGTCCATTCTTAATCGTTTCCCCTCGATTAACTATGTGCACTGAGTCAGAGTGTGTCAAATGCAAACAAAAGAAAAGCCAGTTTATAACTGACTTCTTCATTGACAAATTTTGACTGCTTCTCGTTGACAGTGTTCATTTTGACCGTCTTTCTTGCATCATGTTTATCACGGCGCCATTATGCTTTGTGTTGTTAATTCAATGATCAGCCCTCAGGCCTCGACTCATGAATTAGAATCTCTAATCTGGCCGAACTCAACACTTATATAAATATGATTCAGTTCCACGCCCGCAATGGATTCTAACGTCATCCAAATTCCCATATGGATTCCATGACCAACTCTTCGATTAGCTAGAATGATTCTGCTTACCTACGGTCGACGTTCGAATGCTCTCTGTTCCTTCCCCAGTTCCCTCGTTCTCAGCTATAAATCAATCAATAAAGAAAATGAAGTACTCTGTCTTTGAAAATGAAATGCGAAAGTCACAGTTATCATAC